CATCTATTTTAGCTGCACCCTTTTCTGAAGAAGATCCAATTTCATAATCCTGCTGGAGACAAAGTGATTTTGAATGAGAAAGAGAAATTAGATACAGACTATGACATTGTGAACAATTGGAATTTTCCAGAAGGCCTTGAATTTAAGGTGAAAGTAGGACTATTTTCTCCATATGCTCCACAGGGTCATCAACTGTCAATATCTGAAGATATGATAGAGTGGACCATAGGAACTACTGAGGTGAGTTGGACCTAACTACAATGATTTTAACTTCATGGAAGCAAAATAATCCCTATATTTTAAGCCCCCCTATTCTCATTAATTATCCAAGCATTGGATAATTATTACCATCTAGAGGAATTTTCTTATTTGTTGTCTCCAGGAATGAAAAGGTATATATGAATTCTAGGTTTCTAAACTTTATTGTATTTAGTGAAAAATACAAGTGACATGCTATAGTAGTTTTCTAATATGCTGACAAAATTCCTGAGTAATCAGTTCATAAATAGAAAGGTTCATTTTGCTCCACACTGTAGTTGTTTTAGTCTAGCCTTACTTGATCTGTAATTTATGCATCAGGGTGACAGGAATCAGAAAGATTTTTTTCTGTATCAGAAGATTTTTACTTCTTGGTAATTGGAAAGCAGAGAGGAAGAAATGTGGGTTTCACATAACCTTATGTAGGGGATTTCCATATTTAGGGAATACTTTGACAGCTTCAGTGAGGGTTTTCATATTTTAGGAATCAGTAGAAGTGAATTTACCAGGCACCATGCTCATTACCAAGCTCATGCTTGTAACAGCTGCTCAGGAGGCTGAGTCCTGAGGACTGCAGTTTGGAGTCAGACGGTGCAAGGAAGTTATGAGACTCTTCTCTTCAATTAACCACAAAAAATTAGAAATGAGCTGTGGTCTCAATTGGTATAGCATTAGCATTGATTATGTAAACTAAGGGACAGTGCCCTGGCCTAGAGTTCCAGCCCCAAGACCAGCATGCTTACGCATCTGTGTGCACACCCATGTGCATGCATGCACACATACACACACTCCCACACACACAGAATTTAAGAAGTTCCTTAGTGTTATCCATCAATGACTATCTTAGTATTATGTTCACCTCTTAAAGATTGAACACTTTACAATGGTACCTGGGACTGCAGATGAAGGGTATAGCACATAAGCTTTTGGGGATAATGACATAAGGAATCTGTAACTATCCATTCAACTGATTGGCTCTATGTGTATAGAAAGTGTGTTTAATGGTCCAATTTCTAAGAAAATTTAATGATTTTGGTGTGGTAGGTAAAAGTTTGAACAGTTACCCACACATATATTATTTTCCTCAGACTCCTCACTCAGTTTGCAGTGAGAGTTGTGGTTCTGGATTTAGGAAATTCTCTCAGGAGGAAAAGGCTGCCTGTTGCTTTGACTGTATCCCTTGCCCAGAAAATGAGATTTCTAATGGGACAGGTAAGTCCATTACTTAAGTAGAAATTCTCTGTAATGCTCTCTGATTAACCCAAGTGAAGAGAAATCAAGATTGCAGAGTCAAAGTTAACTTTCCATCAGTTTTGGACAATTGATAATATTGTTCCTTCAAACTGGGCTTGAATTATATCTGGCATTATTTTTCTTCTAGCCTAATGTGCATGGATATCTCAAGTAAACTTACTTCTCAGTACTCAATAAAGGAAGTTTACCTTTTATTCTAATACTAAATACGAAGCCTTATTAAGATATGGTATCCATGTTCTTCGAGATTACTGTTACAAAACAAGGAAAACATGAATCATGTACACTGTGCCCAGAACTTCTCTAGCCAGAGAGCAGGTGCTCAGAAGCTGGGTTTGGTTTAAGAAATAGAAAAGTTTTATGTTTAGCATGATGTTAGAGATTCTAAGAATTATTTAATCCTCTATTCCCCACTGCTGCACAGGTGAACAGGAGAGACAAATATAATGTCATGGATTCAAGAATGTGCCCTAGGGCTTCTATTAACATTTCACAGACACATAGACTAAAGTGCACGCCATATCCACGATTTTCATTGGGGCTTAAGGAGCTGTGCCCAGAGTGCTAAGAATGAATATTATAGTAGCATAAAATAGTGTAGAAAATCTTTAGGATATTAAAAATGACAGAAGGGTCACATTATCAATATGTATGATTGTCACTAAAGATTCAGTCTGACTGAAAAAAACACAATGTAGGAGTGAGGTTATGGTTATTGTTTAGAAAAGAGTAAAATAAAACAACACTGAGCATTTGTTTTATTTTATTTTTATGGTTAGTATAGAGGTGATATACAGAGTGGTTATAGTTACACAAATCATGCAATGAGTACAATTCTTTATGAACCATGCCTCCCCTTCCCTTGCTTTCGCCCAGATTTTCTCTCCCATCCCACCCACAAGATGTACACTTCATTTTCCACATTGTGTCTATTGAGTATCACTCTTGTTTTTATTCACCCTATGTCCCACCTTCTCTGTCCCCCTCTTTACCATCCCACATACAAACTAACAAAGCAGACAAAAGGAAAATAAAACAAGACATCAACTAAAAAATCATATTTCCTTTTCTTGGAGTTCATTTCATATTATTTTATATGATCATATTCACATAGCTATTGAGTCTGTCAAACACTCCTCTGCATATCCTTCTTTGGCCTCAGTGTGTGAATATCTAGAGTCTTATATAATGTATCATGTCCCATTTCATGTGTGTGCATATGTGTGTGTGTGTTTTTACACACTGAATGAATAACATACTCAGTGAATAAATGGATTGAATGATACCTCTATCTATGTATGATGACTTAAATATATAATATATAGGTATATGATATTTACATTTATATGAAATCTGTATATCTCTCTACATATGTCATTTAGTGTGTTTACTTGAAGATTTATTGACACAATCTTGACACCGTAAATGAATGAAACTATGAAACCTATGTTTCTTTGGCTCTGACTTACCTGGCTTTCTACTTTTCAAGTGTTTCCATTTCCTTATGAATAATACAATATCATTTTTTCTGGTGGATGAGTAGAATTCCATTGTACATATATACCACATTATCTTGATCCATTTGCCAGTGATTCCACATCTTGGCTATGGTAAACAGTGTCGCAATTAACATGGTTGTTCTGGTAGTCTTAATAGTGGCAATGTTTGTGTTTTATTGGATAAATGCCCAGGAATGGGATTGCCGAGTCATAGAATAGCTCTATGTTTAGGCTTTTGAGGAACCTTGACACTGCTTAGCAGAATAGATGAATAAGTTTACATTCCAACAGTGTAACAGATTTCCCTTTTGGGATCATCTCTGCCAGTATTTGTAATTGTTATTTTCTTAATAATGCCTATTCTAAACAGAGGGAGCTGGAATCGCAAATGTTAACACTGAACATTTTGTGTACTAATTGGTAACACTTTTTATCACAAACACTGATATGTTTTATCTCTAAGCAGGGAGATTCGAATTTTCATTGAAGAAGGTGCATTATTGAAAGGGAGTAATGATTATTTGTCTTCCTTTCCAGATATGGAGCAATGTGTGAAGTGTCCAGATCATCTATATGCCAATTCACAGAGAAACCAGTGTGTCCATAGGGCTGAAAGTTTCCTGGCTCATGGAGAACCCTTGGGCCTAGTCCTGGCCTGCATGGCCCTCTGCTTGTCCACTCTCACTGCTGTTATTCTTGGGGTTTTTGTGAGGTACCAAGACACTCCCATTGTCAAGGCCAATAACCGGGCTCTCAGCTACATCCTGCTCATCTCCCTCATTTTTTGTTTCTTTTGTTCTTTTCTCTTTATTGGTCGTCCAAACATGGTCACCTGCATCCTGCAGCAGATCGCATTTGCAGTTGTGTTCACTGTGGCTGTTTCTACAGTGTTGGCTAAAACGGTGATTGTGGTTCTTGCCTTCAAGGCCACTTCTCCAGGGAGAATGATGAAGTGGCTGCTGGTATCTGGGGCTCCTAAGTTCATCATCCCCATCTGTACTTTGATCCAAGTGAGTCTCTGTGGACTCTGGCTGGGAACCTCTCCTCCTTTTATTGACACAGATGCATACTCTGAACATGGCCATGTTATCATCCTGTGCAACAAGGGCTCTTTCACTGCCTTCTACTGTGTCCTGGGCTACCTGGGAACCCTGGCCATGGCCAGCTTCACTGTGGCTTTTCTGTCCAGGAACCTGCCTGACACCTTCAATGAAGCCAAGTTCCTGACCTTCAGCATGATGGTGTTCTGCAGTGTCTGGATCACCTTCCTGCCTGTCTACCACAGTGCCAAAGGGAAGGTCATGGTAGCTGTAGAGGTCTTCTCCATCTTGGCCTCCAGTGCAGGACTCTTGTGCTGCATCTTTGTCCCCAAGTGCTACATCATCTTGTTGAAAACCAATAGAAATTCTCTGCATGGCTTCAAGGAGAAAACACATTTTTGGAAAGATAAGGTTTAAGATTAACCACATGTGTTTGATCAATGTATAGAAGGTCTCAACTAAATCTACACAATTTTCCCAGTAAGCTCTTAGGTTATACTATTGAAATTACTTCAATGAGTAAATTGACCTTACTTGTTTGTCTAGTGCTGATATCACAGTAGTGGTATAAATGTAACTATCACTATCTTAAAGTGAATTTTATTCTGTATGTATGTTGTTTCTTCAATTCAATCTGCATTTAATACTATTGTTCACAATTAGCATATTATCCCTCTTTTTTATCTTATTTTTAATTTCTCAATTACTTTTGGAAACACTTAAACAAGATACTTCCTTATATCTTATTTATTAATAAATTCCATTAATATTTTCATTTTAACATAGTTCTATATTGTACTATGTTCATAGAGTATGTTGTATTCAATAGTTCTATATTGTCACACATTTGCCTTTGGAATTGTAGGAAAAGCTAGTTATACATTACAAAAATCCTCTTCAACTTTCTATCACAATGGACTGCAGTAACAAGAAAGAACAGAGAAACTGATGGATGCTGGTTAGTGTGTTTCTCAGTTGTAATGGCTTCCTAACATTCGTGAGTTCCTGGGTTCGATATCCAGCATGCAAAAGAATTGAGCCAGGTATAGTGGCTCATGACTGAAGTCCATGGTATTCACATTGGTGAGATTGAGAGGATCAGAGTTCACAGACAACCCAGGCACAAATTTCATGAGAATACTTCTCAACCTATAACTGGGTGTGTTGGCACATGCTTTATATTCCAGCAATGTAGGGGATGAAATCTGGAAGATTGTGATACCAGGCCATTCTAGCCTAAAAACAGGTTTATGAGATACCCATGTAAATAGAAGAACAGCACATCATGGTATATGCCTGTCATCCCAGCAATTGCAGGAGGCATCAACAGAAGGACTGCAGTGCAAGTATAGGCATAGGTAAAAACAAAGAAACTAACTGAAAAAAACTCAGTGCAATGAAGGGTTGGAGGTATGGCTGATTCTACAGCATCTGCCTAACAAGCTTGTGACCTAGACTGACTTCACAGTTGACCTCTAAAGAAAGTATTGCCAACAGGGTTTGCTTCACAAGGAAAAGAATATGCATAGACCATAAACAAAAATACAAACCAACAAGAGTGAAAAGATAGCCAGTGCATCGGGAGAAAATTCTTAAGCATAATATTAAAAATAAGTAAATGTGGTATTTAGGAAATTGACATAAGCTTTCTAGAAATAAAAACAATAAAATATTATGCAAGGAATTCTTCTAAATAAAATCCAGAAAATTATTTCTAAAATTTGTATTCAAACATGTCCATTCTATAATGCAGTACAAACCACAAAACACAACGTGGGAGCAAGTCTCAAGCTTGGCTATAGCCATACTACCCAGAACACTCTCAGTTTCATTTGATTATTCTTTTTAAGGTGTCATGTTTTGATATTTTTTGGTCTTAGATTTTTTTTCTCATGAGGACTTAAGTCATTGATGGTGGGTTTAGTTATCTATACTTTTTCAGTTGAAGGCATTCCTTGTATTCTGGGAGGATTGGTAGTGTAGTACTGGTGTGCATTGTCCTGCCACCGACCTGGGGGTATAACTCAGCAATAACAATATCTCAGTACCAATGTAAATAATTACATGAAGTAAACAATATCAGCTATACAAGCAATCCCATTGTACATGGCAAAGTAGGTGGTTAGGGAAGAAAAATTATTCATGTTGTTAAAAGTTGAGAGGCAAAATAGGGGTTCTGTATGAGAATTATTAAAGGGCAAGAAGAAATAGAGAAAGGGGTTAATTGTGTATCCAGAAGGCAAAGAAAACATTGGTGAGCAAGGATCTGGTTCCATTAATGTGGCAAAGGACCCTCTTGTCCAGGCTTCAGTGGATAGTTGGCTTGATGATGATAAACTACGGAGAATATGCCATCAAGTGTAAATATATGAAGAGCTTTTAAACTAGTAATGAATTTAAAAACATCAGAAACATTTAAAATATTTAAAAATATTAAAATTAAAATAATATAATTTAAATTACTTAAAATTTATTTAAATTATTTAAAAAGTAAAAAACAAAAATAGTAATACTTCTTTGTTTTTGAATCAAATGATGTATTCAGTAAGTGCAGAAGGTGTTCTCTTTTCATCTCTGTTTCTCTATTTTGTCCTTTTGTATTTCTTCATGTAACTCTCTGTGTCTGCTGTATGTGCTGCCATGTTAAGCTATACACTGAGAACAGTTACTGGGGCCTGGAGGTCTGGCACTTTTTAGTATTGTCCAAAGTTCCTGATGCAGTGTTGTTTATCTTTATAATGCAACATTTACTTCTAGAATCATGGTGTATAGGTTTGTTTGTGCTGGGTTGTTGTAGCAACCACTTGGGAAGCATTTCTATTTCTAATCTGCTATGCCTGATAACTCAAAGTCACTTTTCCAAAAAGGTGAAACTCATAGTTTCATGAGTTCAATTAGATTTTCTTCAAGTTCACTAATCATTACCTTCTTTTACATGGTTTAAAATTAAAGAAATGACTTGTAATATTTACACGATGGTCTTCCATTGTGACAATTCCATATGTGGATACAGTGTACATTGAACAAGTTCACTCAAACATTGATAGTTCCATTCCCCCTTCATTCTTCCATTCTTTCATATAGTGTGTGCTGGGTTTCATTATGCTGTCTTTTGGTATACATACTTGTGTTTGCGAATATATGTATATATACTTAGATATATGCATATATCATTGTACATACTTTGATCCTCTTATCTGCTATGTGTCCTTTCATTATATTAATTCAACCTAACTATACTGGGTCAAGAGTAATGATTATGGAATGACATTGCCCCATTTGTTAGGAAATGGAAAGATTTGGAAAAATTACATTAATTGAAGTAAGCCCTGCCCAAAGAAACATAGATCCCATGGTTTCCCTTATTTGCAATTACTAGTATTAGTGTAGGACAAATAGAAAAAGTTAAAAGCTATGTACATATGCCCATATAAAATGATGTTAATTGAAATGAACTCCAAGATAGGACACACATATTGTTTTTCTTTCTTGCTATAGTTTCTAATGTATTTATAATATACCATGTGATTTTATTGATTCTTTGTATGTTCCTCCCCCTCAGTATAATCTCTATTTTCACTGTATTTGATGTCAGTGCCCTGCAACTTGTATATACACTTTTCAAATTTGGAGAGGGGAAGGGAAAAATGCTTATATAGAGATACATGTTGACCCGTTGTAACAATGAGATGTATGAGATCTATATTGAAAACAAATTTTACAACTGTGGTGGGGGAAGAGGGTATTTGGGGAGGTTGGAAGGAAAGGGATGGTAGAGGAAAAAAAGGAGGAGGCAACAATGCTTGATAGGAAATGTACTTATTACCTTGCTCATGTAACTGTAACCCCTCTATACAGTATTTTTACAAGAAAAAGTATAGAGTAATGATCATGGAGGTATTTCCCAACAGTGCATTTAACTATGGCAGCCTCAAACTAGAATATCAGCCTAAGTCTTGGTTACAATTCTCTTCCCATAACCAATGTTGGATGCTCCTCTCTCCATGATGAATTATTTGGAATTGAGTTAAGAGGAGTAAACTGATTGGCCATATATTATTGCATTTAAATACATATTCTTTAATGTTATATAAACCAAATGTATGACCCTTCACATATTTAGCTTTTATTGTGGTAGATGTTGCTTGAAAAATTGTTCACTATCAATATGCTATGGCTATGAGGAGACTTGATATGTAATCTCCTACAAATCACATTCAGTGAAGCTTCTGGAAATTTCTCTTTAAGTCACTCTCTCAGTCAGCATGGCTGCTCTTATAACCACAAAACATAAATAGGGTGGCTTAAAACACTAAGGCTTCTTTCTCACATTTGTGGAACTACTTGCCACAAGGCCAAGTCAACAGAATATTTAGTTTCTCAGGAGGACCTATTCCAGCTTTCACGGAGGGCAGTCTTTTCCTGTGTTACATGTGCAGATAGGTAAAGCAAGTCTCAAAAAATCATCTCTCTAGATTTTCGTAAGGTTCTGAATTTCATTAATGAGACATTATTTTCATGTCCTTGCCTGACCCTAAATACCCGCACAAGATCCCACATTTGCACTGTGCCCCAGTAGGGAGAGATATTTCAACATATTCATTTGCTAAGAAACAAGCATTTAATCCATCATGGCCATAGTATTTTACTTGTGATGATAAATTTTTGAGGTACTCTTAAATTTCTTCTTTTTTCTTGTGCATTTTTTTAAATTATTGGTCACTGATCTCTTTATTTTGAAAGTTTTCATTGTGAGAATATGTGTAAAGAGCTCTGAGGGATGGGAAGGTGGTTCAGTGGTAGAGCGCTTGCCTTGAATACCTGAGGCCCTGGGTTCGATTCCTCAGCACCACATAAGCAAAAAGAAAAAAGCCAGAAGTGGC